ACAGATGAGGTGATACACAAGCTATCAGGTGCTCGACACTTCAGCAAACTCGATGCCAAGAACGGTTATTGGTCTATCAAGCTCGACCATGACAGTTCACTTCTGACTACCTTCAACAGTCCCTTTGGACGGTACAGATATCTCAGGATGCCTTTCGGTCTAGCAATGTCTCAGGATGTATTCCAGCAGCGAATGGACGAAATCCTCGAAGGTTGCCCCGGCACAATAGGGATCGCTGACGATATTGTTGTGTTCGGCAAGAGTGAAGCAGAGCACGATCAGAATCTGCACCACCTCATGTCCAAAGCTGTGAAGTACGGTCTGCAGTTCAACAGTGGCAAGTGCAGCATAAAGGTCAACCAGATTTCCTTCTTCGGTATGATCTACGATGCAGATGGCGTCCATCCGGATCCTCACAAGGTCGAGGCAATCAAGTCAATGTCTCCACCTGAGAACAAGAGCCAGCTTCGTGAGTTCCTTGGTATGATAACCTACCTTAGCCCATTCATACCAAATCTTTCAGCCCAGACTGCAAGCCTACGTGGTCTTTTGAAGCAGGACGCTGAATTCCAATGGACTCCAACGCACCAGTCTGCCTTCAATGATTTACGTGACAAGGTATGTCACGATGCAACTCGGGCGTATTTCGATGTTAACAAGCCTACGGTACTGCAGGTAGATGCTTCTCTGCAGGGCTTGGGAGCGACTCTACTGCAGGATGGAAAGGGTATCGCGTTTGCATCAAAGGCCCTCAGTGATGCAGAGACGAGGTACGCCAACATAGAGCGAGAGCTGCTTGCAGTGGTCTTCGGCTGTGAACGATTCCACATCTTCCTGTACGGGAAAAGTTTCATAGTTGAGACGGACCACAAGCCCCTGGAGATGATCCAGCATAAGCACCTGGCAGCGGCTCCACCTAGACTCCAGCGTATGCTCCTTCGTCTACAGCCATACAAGCTGACAATTGTCTACAAGCCTGGTAAGGATGTACCAGTAGCTGACTGCCTATCCAGACGTCCTCTTGGTCCTCCAGAACACATCCACCTTGACCTGCAAATCAACTTTGTACAGTTTGCTCCAGACCGTTTGAGTCAGTTGAAGGAGGAAACAGCCAAGAATGCAGAGTTTGCAGCACTACAGAAGGTGATTGTGAAAGGGTGGCCAGAGAAGAGACGTGAGCTCCCACGATAGCTGCAGAGATACTGGGCCTTTCGAGATCAACTTGCAGTTGAGGATGGACTGATCCTGAATGGTGAACGAATCCTTATTCCACACTCCATGAGGGAGTTCATACTGAGCAAGCTTCACGAAGGTCATCAAGGTATCGAGAAGACACGACTTCGGGCTAAGGCTTCTGTGTACTGGGAATCAATCAATAACGATATCGAGGTCCTGGTGAAAGGCTGCTCAGTCTGCCAAGAGTACAAGCCCTCGCAGCCCCACGAGACTCTTCTCCAGCACGAGATACCTACACGATCCTGGCAAGTCTTAGGTACAGACTTATTTCACTTTGAAGGGAACAATTATCTCATCATTGCAGATTACTTCTCAAAGTTCCCTTTCATCCGGAAAATGCCTCAAGAGTGTACCAGTGCTGCAGTAGTCAATGCGACCCGTCAGGTGTTCGCAGAACAAGGAGTTCCAGAAAGAATCGTTAGCGACAACGGAAGACATTTTGATTCCTCAACATACAGAGACTTTGCTACACAGTGGGGATTCAGCCATGTTACATCCTCTCCCCACTACCCCAGGTCAAATGGCTTCATTGAGCGAATGATTCAAACTGTCAAGAATACGCTCAAGAAAGCTAAAGTGAGTGGTATCGACCCCAACATGGCTCTACTATGTATCCGTGCCACTCCAATTGACAGCCGTATTCCAAGCCCAGCTGAGCTTCTTTACGGGAGGAAGATGAAGGACAACTTACCAACTCGAATCCGCAACAACTCCCCTGGTCGTGATGATGTTAACCATCGTATGCAGCTTCGACAGCAGAGCCAGAAGTATCATCACGACAAATCAGCCCATGACCTAGCACCACTCTCACCTGGGCAGCTTGTGAGAGTCCAAGACCAGACATCACGTCACTGGATAACAGCTACTGTTCGTGAGCAATGCCATGAGCCTAGGTCATATCTCGTCGAGACGCCTAATGGAAAGGTGCTACTGTGAGGCTCCAGGATAAAAATCGTGTCGATCAGCTATATAAGTGACCTTTTGTGAGGCATTAATCCTCATTACTGTCAATTATGATTTAAGGACGTAGGTTCCCTAGCTGATTAGCATAGTAGCACACATATGATTTAGCAGTCACGCAAAAGAAACACTCGCAAATCAATATTCAATAAAATCTGAGAACGTATGCCATTTCCTGTATCAAAGAGAACTGTTGCTGAGCTAGCGCCATGAGCGTCCCTGGACGGTGTGTGCGCTCTATAAGTTTACACTATTATTATTGTTATTATTATCTAGATCTATTAGAAATAAATAATTCTTTAAAATCCTTCCCTAAACTTGGGTAAAAATAATTATTCCACCATTATGACCAACAGTGTACTATTGAAATCACCTCCTAATAAAACTAAATAGTCCCGATCACACTGATCAAAAATACTTTCATCTAACTTCTTCAAAAATTCAATTTGTAAAGTTTCTTTATCTCTCGTTGGAAAATAATCATTAACCAATAGCATTTTATAAACCCTTTGTATTTCACCTTTAAAAATAATGTATCTCCCCTCTTCATCTACTTTAATTTTTTTTTCTTCAAAATCTAAATGATTAGAAAATAAAATAAGAACCCCTCTACTATGGTTTGACCCATGACTAAAAAACATTGGCCCTCCCCAATCTTGTTTCCACCGCTCTTCTATCTCTACTGTTCTATATGTTTCTTGTAAAAAAATTATACTATTTTTTTTAGTTTTGCACCATTCAAAAATATTCACTCTTTTTAACCTATCTCTTCTTCCTCTAACATTTAATGTCATGAAAGATAATTTCACTGCCATGTTAGTTTATGTGTAATTGTATCCAAAACCTTACATCGATAAACTCCAAAGAAACTTCCACATAATCTATTTCCACCGTGAGCAAATGTATAGAAAAAACTATCTGCAGCCAAACACACATGCATAGTTATCGTCGAATTATATTTTTAAAAAATGTAAGCAGAATCCACCCCGTACCACACAACCCAACGCATTCATACACACAAGCATATTCACTACACACACAACACCCCCACACAAAACAACCCAAATCTGCTCTTTGGTATACGTAAACATCCGAGAGCAAGAGGCTCCCCTTTCCCTGTCAATTTAACTAGACCAATGACAGAACTCCTCATCTCAATTCTAAACATTTCTTCTTGCACAAGTCGATTAGAAATACGTTGTATTGTTAAATAACCGTAATCTAATTTTAAAAATATATATATATATATAGATATTATAAAGAGCTTTTATCCCTCATGCGGTGGTCACATCCCGCCGTGCTTGCGAGTGCGTGCTGTCTACGTGCAAAAACGTGGGCAAAATGTGGGTATCCGTACGTGATGAGTACCGCCTCCGTACGGATTTGGGAGCACGCAGACACACCGTAGCACTTTTAGTGCACCAGGAACTTTCGCTGCGTTCGGGCTGCGTTCGGGCTACCGATTCAACCCAGTGCGTGTGACGTGCGTGCCCGGTACTGCCGACGAGCGCACAACGCGCTGACTCCGTGCGTCTTTTAAAGGCGCACATGATAAGTGCGTGGTCCGTGCTTACTCGCCACTTCCCCCAGTTCAGCTATCCAATGAGCACGCAGAACTCACGTGGACCGTACCGAGTAAGCACTTACAACGCACGTTGTTCGCACTGATTTATGCAGTATATAGTCTCTTCGGTGGAATGGGCAGCATCTTGAGGCAGCAACAGCTGGGACGTCTGGAGAACATCGGAATGTCGTCCTATATAGGCCGAGTTCATCGCACGTGCACGCACTTACAACATGCGAGTGAGTAAGGACACCGTACGTGAGCAGCACTTGTAAGTACGGCCTCCGTACGATAACGTGGCAACCGCACGGAGACCGTACTTTGTAAGCATGTTGTAAGCACGAACAACGCACTTACCACGTGCACAACGTACGATGCACGCAACCGTTCACGGCCAGGCGTGGCGTGCGGGCCACGTACTTACAAAGTGCGTGTGACGCGCGTTGCCGGTACTCCCTCCCTGCCTTTGCCACTTCCTCCCTACGTTTTCAGAAAAACGTGGCGGCCGTGGCCTCCCCAAAAAACCGTACGGACTAAAAACACGCACGGTGGGATGTGACCAACAAATGCCTTGAATTGTACTACGGAACCCGCTCGTCATAACTAAGTTAAATGATTTTCCTAAAATGCATTACAGTGAATTGACCGGCCCGCGTACCTAATCACAATACGCACCTTCTAATTAAAAATAAAAACACGATCCCAATAAACCGAATTCCCCCAAACGACACCAGTTCGGCATCCCAATAAACTGTTCGTGCAAACCGAACCCATCATGCTATCATTTACCAAGTTCTATAATTTGCATAACACACACACATATATATATATATATATATGTATGTAATGATTAAAACAATTGAAATAAAAACACTTTGCTTGGGTTAGGGTTAACTATCACCAGTTTCATCTTATTTTGTCAGAGAGTTAAAAATTGAAACCGGTCATAGTGAAGAAGTGAACTCTCAACGTTTTTTATTTCAACTGCTTTATTTTATATATATATATGTGTGTGTGTGTGTGTGTGTGTGTGTATGTGTGTGGTGTGCGTGTGTACGGTGTGTGTGAGCGTGTGTCTGTGTATTTAATATAAGTCTTTGTTCAGATAAAACGTTTTTGGAAGGTATGGTAAATGAAATCAATTTTATTAAAAGGGATTAGGAAAAAAAATTGTTTAAAGATTACAAACAGTATGTGTGTGTGTGTGTATGTATGTCAGCGTCAATGAGGACGGGTTTACCAGAGTAAAGGCTTCGATAAGTAGGAGATATCCAGTAGTCCAAGTCAGCCCCATCAATACCAGGATTGTCACTGCATTCTTGACGCGTTCAATCATCTCTTCGCGCTTCCCATCCTTGTCCTTCTTTGCTTTCCCGGCTATCTGAGCCGATTTTGATAGCTGTCGGATGACCATAATAAAGATGACCATGTTGGTGATCAGAACGACGGCTACAGGTATCAGAAGGCCGCCGACTTGAGACCAGAGGCGAAGGAAGCAGCTATATAGGGAGGCAGGTACATTTACAATTACATTATCTAGTTGGTAAATTGATGGTAAATGAACAACACTAATAACATAAAACTTGCACGCACACCAAGCAATCTAATGCTGTAGTCATTCTCTGTCTTAAAGGCTCCTAGCCTAATATCGTTTAGTAGGTCCTAAGGAAGCCCTGTACCAAACATGGTGCTTTTATCCAGCAAGTAACGGTAATTTCACTAAACCACCTGACTATTAGTTGATTTCTTAAAAGTTCTTGCGATCTTGCCCTTTGTAAATATTATTACTTACACATCTTCCCTGGCATAGTTCGTATTTGCAATACCGCCAGTCAGGATAACGATGATCGCAGGGATTCCTACATTAGTAGAGAAAAGACAAAAAATCAGGGTAAGTTGTTATGAAACAGAAGGGTGATTCACTTAGACATTGAGTTCGATGTGTAAACAGTTTTTTAATCGTTTTTTACGAATTGAAGGGCAGGAAATCAGCTTTGATCGTACCACGTAGCCCAAACTTCTCTGGTAGACCCTTGAAAATTCTTACATTTGGTAGATGATGGGCGAGTGATAAGTAGATCATTCTTTTTGGGGGGTGGAGGTGGGGGCGGCAGAGACTGATTTAAGATAGCAATCTTTCTTTACACTGATCTAGTATTTATAGCGTCGAAATTGCCATATGTACGTACCCCAGGCTGCAAGACCGGCCTTGCCCATGAAGTTTGGTATGTATGTATTGAAGATCTTTACGATGACCAGGTAGGTATTGATGCCTTCCACTCCCATCCACGCAATGGAGGAAAGTACGAAGAATTGGATGAGACCGGCTAGAAACCCGCACGCTACCGCGTTCACCCCCGTATCTCCTCGCGTAGTGTCCAAGACAAGCAGGGCGAGGAACGAGGTGTACAGGCCCAGCATGGTGGCGCACAGGCAGATGAAAATCTTGTTTGTCTGACGACTTCGTAGCTTTCTGTTGAGGAGACGGTTGAAAAAGCAAACGCATATGGAACAAGAAATTATGCAATCTCTGGGTGCACGCCTCCGACAGTAGCTAAATGAGTAACTACAATATGAGTCACAGAGTAGCCTACCAACTTTCGCAAAATAGATGTTTTAGTTCTTACTAATAAAAAAAGTCAAATAGAAACGGTCATGATGGTTATGTTTTAAAGCCCCTTTTTTGGATCAGGGTGCAAACATTTGATATATTGAGACCACTTTTAGCGTAAATTAAGGAAAGAAATGTCATCAGTTTCTTAAAATATCTTACCTGTGACAACTAGTGACGATAAGTCCGTATATGGACTAACCACAAACAAACAACCCCCCCCCCCCCCCCCAAAAAAAAAAAAAAAAAAAAAATGTGTTTGTCTAATCCGGAACAAAATAAAACCCCAAAAAGACCAATTTTCTCAAAGAAGTCTTGAAGTGAAGCGAGACTTACTTATTCCAGAGGTATGTCACAAGTGCGATCAGTAGACATACAGTAGAGATAACACACCCTATGTAGCTCAGGATATTGTAGGTATACTCGGTAGTTACATCATGGATATCCTGCACGGAAATAGTCAAAGTGAGGAAAACATTAACAAAAAGAGAAAAATTGAAACGAAAGTCGTTGGTGCAAGACAGGGTAAAAAAGAGAACATAGCAAAAGAAAAGCTGAAAATGATAGAAATACAGGGCCCTTAGGTAGAACAGTATTAGTTTTTATTATCATTATCATTATTATTATTATTATTATTATTATTATTATTATTATTATTATTATTATTATTATTATTATTATTTTCATTATTATCATTATTACTATTATATTTATTATCGTTGATATTATAGATCCTGACTTCATTGATATGGAACACAAGATATATCAAATTGTAACTGATTAAGAAGAGACTGACAAAGCATTTACACATTAACCCTAATAAGGGCCCTCTTCCGCGATTTTTCTAATTGTTCGGGAACGCATACGGATGGCGCCCTGCTGCTCGCTGACTTTTTTTATTAGAGTCTTGCGCATCTTTTAAAACAATTCTTTGTAAATCGTGGGTACAGTTAGAAGGTCACGTGACGTTTTGTCTTTGCATGTCAGCCCGAAAATCGCTCATTTTCGTGGTTTGTGTACAAAACATATGGAAATGTCATTTTTCCTAAATACAGATAAAAAAAATTGTTATTGGGTCTTGTTTAAAGTTTAGGTGTGCATTACCATTAAAATCGCAAAGTTGGTAAGGTGATCGCACGCACACGTGTACATCTCCGTAGTCTCCAAGTCTTCTAGAACAAGATGACATCCATCAGAGGACCACTCTGAATCATCCTCGTCCCAGAAAACACACGTCTGATTCTCGTAATCAGGCTGTCGAAAAAAAAAAATATATTTATTTTTAGGAGTTGCCTACGGCTTTCACGAAAAAGCTGATGTGTAAATTTTACATGTACTGTGTTTTATTTTGAATTTGACATCATATTACAGATTCATGGGCAAGACCATGGAAACTTTTCTAATACTTTTAACACTACATATGACTAGTGCTTGGTTTAGTATGAGGTATGGGTCCGTGGTAATGTCAGGAATGTTTTCTTAGGGCATACGCTAATTCCGGTCTCTAATTCTTATTCTTCGGTGCAGAATTGATATTGCTTCGAGCACAACTGAATAGGTATGTTTGACCCTAAATGATAGTTAAATCTTATTTACGGCTAATAAACACGTTTCTTTTGTCAAATAATAAAGAGTTCTCACCACCAAAGCAGTAAAAGTCAGGTTAATCGTTTGGTTTAGGTCTGCAAGAATTACCCCACCGACACTTAATAGAATGACAGGTGTGTTGGCGGTCCGATTGACACCTGGGTTCTCATTGCTGAAGTTAAGAAGCGAGGGTGAGAAAAACAGTGCCGGTGTGGAGAAGACACTCATGATGATGTTGATATTCGTGTTGTTAACATTGCCCGTTGAAGCTCCTAAAGCGATGGCAGCGATTTCAGGAGGAAAGCTTATCTGTTTTCATACATTTAATATGGATAAGGTTAAAAAATCTGTTTCAGTCCTATTCTCACTTTATACATGTACATTTATTTTTTTAGCAAAGATGATCATTGGAGATAAACAGTAATGAGGAAATAATAGTGGGATGGGGCAGAAAATATCTGCTGGTAAATGTGTTATGAATCTCTTAAAAGTCCCGTCTCCCATACAAATTACATCCAGAAAAACGTTGTACGCGGTTCAGATATTTAATAAGCCGGTCCCTCCCAACTCAAAAGAGAAAAATGTTTTAAGGACTTATTGAAAGATAAATTTTAACAATCTTTTGGAGGATACAACATTATATACAATATAATTAGTTAATGTCGATGCATCAAATTCTGCAAAAAACTCAGAAAAGCCAAACCACTATCTTGATGCCATCCAACGGAAGCAGAGAAATTGGCCACTATAGAAAAGTGGCCTCTATAGAGAAGTATAAACTAAGATAGGTTTGAATGTTTTAAAATCAAAATACAGTTGAAAGCCATAATGAACACCTTAAGGAAACCATAAAGGACTATTGTAGAGGTTATTTGATGACTATTACCTCAGCTATAAGACCGACACTGGTTCCTTCCGAAGGGGTATCCCCTCCTGCTCTGACGGTAATGTTGGAACCAGAGAGATCTGTCGAACTATCCCCGGAGAGGGAAAGGACCAGCCCCTGATTTAGCTCTTCTGAGGGTACACTCCGAACCTTTTAAAAAAAAGAGTTGTACGACTTGTTTCTACACTTGGTGTGTTTATATAATAATAAGGCAGTATGCAAGCTTCATTTACGAACTAAATACTTTTTTTAAATTGTAGTGACTTGAACTTTACTAAGGTCACAAATGTTTATCAACATTGTAAATAGTCAGCATTTTAAACATTCCTTTTGTTAGTACTTTCCGTTCAGCCAGCTTCAATAACAATAACAATTTACAGCTGCACATTCTACACATTCTCTGAGTTAATTTCATCCATGGAACCACCCAGCAACAAGAGTGTTATTTTAGTTACTCCAATCGGACCGCACCTTATTGTTTTAATAAGCCAATCATCAAACTTTTAGCGCACTTGGAAAAGTCTCCACACACGGACTTTACTCACTTCTCCTGTCTTCAGTTTCATCAATCGGACGTGTTTTATAGGAGGTTTTCATCCAATTCTTCGTACTTTCCTCCATTGCGTGGATGGGAGTGGAAGGCATCAATACCTACCTGGTCATCGTAAAGATCTTCAATACATACATACCAAACTTCATGGGCAAGGCCGGTCTTGCAGCCTGGGGTACGTACATATGGCAAGCGTTTTTTCATTGGCTTTCACGTTAATAGTGAGTTTCATCATCATCATTTTATTTGAGGACTCAATCGCAAATTAGATTTGTCTTCTATTTAATTTCGGGAAAGTGTGAACTGTAAGGTTGTGTGCCTTCATCATATTCGCGTTTCGCTAGCTAGCTAGTCGCGCTCCACGTGCTGATTCATCTTCGCTATATCGCACTATTCTTCCTCTTCATGATTCGCTTTCCAGTTTCTTTCTACACTCAAGATATCAACTCTGAAGATTATTATTAACGGTAAGAATATTCATTTAGTTTTATCCACAACATTTATTCCTACAAAATCATGTCGAGGTTAAATTTCTTTAAGGTATTTATACTGTCTCAGGAATCCTTGTTCCAACATGTACTTTTGAAACATAGCTCCCTTCTGTTCTGATAAAAGAATAAATAATTTTGCAGTTGTGCTCTGCAGTATGCCGGGTATAGTGATTTCCACATTATGATTACGTTAAAATTTGCATTGAAATCAGAATTCTGTGACTTGTAGTTTGTCAATTTGGAGTTCGTTCCCTTCGTGTTGCTCATTCTTCCAAACAATTGCGTTCAAGCTGCAATGAAGTAAAGGTACAGAATCCCTTTACAGAAAGACATTTGATTAAAACCCTTTACCTACAGTAAACAGATGAATCCTGTAATAAGCCTTGGACACTACAGGGTTTCGTGATCAACAATTTAATACCTGAACTGCTATGTTTTGTTCCGCTACATCGAACGGTTCTCCCTCTGCAACATCGACGTTGTTGAGCTGCGTTTCGTAGGCCATGAGAATGTTTGAGATCGCATTGGTGTTTTTTTCTGCCTCCTGGAGCTCGGTCATGTCAACCGAAGCAATGTTGCTGACAATGCTCGTCACCACAGCAGTAAACTTTATAAACAAAAATAAAATGTAACAAACAAGAGTTTCCCATGTTAGATAATGCACTGAGCAAAATAAGGAAAGAAAATAAGAGTACACTATTTACAGTTCATATGTTCAAATCAATATTCAATACAAATTTATTTTTTAAACTATCAACATAAATATATATACATTATCTTTTAAAATGATATGCAATTGGAATCCTACCAAACATGCATGAGTGAGCATAGCCATTTAACAATAAATGAGTTCACGAACTTGGGTGGAGAGGAGAAACATATTGAACGTGCTTGTCGAAATCATGCAGTCCTCAGACTACAGTTGACAACCAGTGCTCAGTCCTCCTCATTATTTCTCATTATTGCACAATAATGTTTTACAGGTGCACATGTTCTTTGAAATTTGGATGGAAACTTGCTCTATTTTGCAATTTTCTTAATCAGATCTTCTAACATTAAACTTAATGTGCCCATCCAAGCATGAAAGTTTAAAACTTGATCTCAATTGATGTTCTTAGAGTATATATATATATATATATATATCTATATTGAAACATTGATGGCAAGATGGCATCGTCCAAATCCTCTTCGCTACGTCATTATTCCAAAGGGGCTGTCCTTCCTACATGTATAACCTTCAAAAACGATATTCTTAGCTTTAAACTCAATTCCATTACATCATAATATATATCTCATTAGTCTCAATATTATTGAGACTAATGAGACTTGATGATTTATAAGATCCTTGCCTAGTATGTTTCACTCAATTTTAAGGCTATGTTAGATTCCCGAATATTTCATTATGTTCGATATTAACGAAGACATTAATTTGTTTGATATTGACTCTTTTGAATTAACCCCATTCGAATTTGATAACAGATTATGTTCAAAGTTCCCAAAAGCTTTTACGATTTCTCATATAAATATTAGATCTTTAAATAAGAATATTGATGCCTTAAGATTATTGTATGAAGAATGCATAAAATCAAAATTTCATTTAATTGGATTGTCTGAAGTCTGGAATGTATCTTGTGCAGATATCCTTGGGATAGATGGTTATACTTTGGAAGTGAATTGCCGGGACCCTGGTTTAAGGGGAGGAGGTGTTGGAGTCTATGTTCATTCTTCTTTGAAATATAAAATGTTAAAATATGATATTGACTTTGCTGAATCACTATGGCTTGAGGTTCAGATCGGTGATCGTTCCGTTGTTGTAGGTGTCATTTATAGAAAACCAAACACTGATATTTTCCAGTTTCAAGGGAGTTTATTGTCTGTGTTAGAAAGGATTAAAGTTGATAAAAAGTTGTGTATTTTAATGGGTGATTTCAATATTGATTTGTATAATCCCAGCGTAAATGCTGAAATGTTAGTTACTTCCTTAGTGTGTTTGGGGATACATCAATTAATTAAGACCCTTACGAGGGTAACACCCATGTCAGGTTCCTTAATTGATCATATTTACACAAATATGGGTGCAGATCGCATATGTGCTGGTACAATTGTAACTGACGTTTCTGATCATTTCCCTATATTTGCTATTTTTGAAGATAGCTCAGTAAAATTACAACCACAAGGAGAAGTACGATATAGAAGTTATAAAAACTATGAGAAAGAACAGTTTTGGGATAGTCTACTCTTGGAATCATGGGAAAATGTATATGAATGTACTGATGTTAATAAAGCATATGATATATTTGTACAATCATTCATAGGTATATGTGATCAATATGCTCCGATTGTTCATCGTCACTCTTCCAGGAGGAAAAATGATAAACCATGGCTGACTAGAGCTATTAAGAAGTCAATTAAAAAGAAACATAAATTATATGGTAAAGTATTAAAATCAAACTATAGTGAAGATAATTTGAAAAAATATAGGACGTATAGAAATGTTTTAACTACAGTTTTGAGGAATGCGAAGAGGAAATATTATAGTGATGTATTTGAAATGTATAAAGGTGACACAGCGCAAACATGGAAGTCAATAAATAAGCTATTGAAGAGTGGAAACAGTAAAGTAAAAACGTCACATGTAGATAAGCTCTGTGTTGATGATAATGGTAGTAAGAAAGTTGTAACCTCAGGGAAAGAAATATCAGAAGGCTTTAATGATTTTTTTGTGAACGTTGGGCCTAACCTTGCTAAATCTATTAATGGTAATATTGACGATGATATTACATTCAAAGGTTATCTTAGTGATGGAATAATTGACTCCATGTTTTGGGAACCAGTTACTCATTATGAGGTACGGGACTATTTATTAACTTTAAATGTAAAGAAAGCTTGCGGCTTTGATGATATTCCAGCCCGATTACTGAAGGATGCTGCTGAAGTAATTGCAAAACCACTATCTTATATTTATAATCAGTCATTATTGAACGGTGTGTTCCCAGATGCAATGAAAGTAGCCAAAGTTACACCAATTTTTAAGAAGGGAGATAAAAATGTCCCAGGCAATTACAGACCTATTTCAGTTTTGCCTCTTTTGGCCAAAATATTTGAGAAATTAGTAAACAAGAGGCTACTTGATTATTTTGAAAGAAATGATGTCTTGTATAAGCACCAGTATGGCTTTCGTAAACATTATAGTACTAAGTTGTCTTTAATTAATTTGGTTAATGATGTGCTTAAATCACTGGATAAGGGCAGTGTAACACTAGGTGTATTCCTAGATTTCCAGAAAGCTTTTGATACAATTGATCACGCAATATTGGCTGGAAAATTAGAACATTATGGAATAAGGGGCCTTCCTCTCCAGTGGTTTAAAGATTATCTTTGTAATAGATTTCAGTTTGTGAACTATGATGGACATAGCTCATTGAAGCAGATAATAACATGTGGTGTTCCTCAGGGTTCTGTGTTGGGACCTACACTGTTTTTGTTGTACATAAACGATTTACCAAACTCAACAAATTATTTTAATTTTAGACTTTTTGCCGATGATTCTAACTTGTTTCATACGTTTCCACCAAGACAGAATTCAATTGATATGGATAATATAGTTAATATGCATCTTGATAAGGTGACCATATGGTGTAAGGTGAATAAACTTACAGTCAATCTATTAAAGACTAATTATTTGTTAATAAGAGGGAGTAGGCAATCAGTAGTGACTCAAGGGGTGCTAAAAATAGCAGAGACTGAAATAACCCAGGTTGATGTTGCATCATTTGTAGGAATTTATATAGATCAACACTTGACGTGGAAACCTCATATCCAAAGGGTTAATAAGTTTATTAGGAAAAGGGTTGGTGTTTTATATAGATTAAGACAGTTTGTGCCAAGGCGTGTTTTGTTGTTACTGTATAAGACGTTAATCCAACCGCATATGACCTACGGAATTGAGGTTTGGGGAAGTAATTATGAAATGAACATGAAGTGTTTATTATTAAGCCAAAAGATGGCACTAAGAGTTATAACGTTTAGTCCAATTAGGACTCATTCACAACCGATATTCCAGGAGCTAAAATTATTGAATGTGTATCAACTCCATAAATTATCTGTTTGTGTTTTTATGTATCAATTATTGAATGATAAATTGCCACAGTCTCTAATTCAGTATTGCTGTTTCATAGAGCACAACTATGAAACTAGACAAAGAGAAAGTAAGAAGTTAAGTGTGCCTAAAGTAAGGACAACGCAAGGTAAATTTTCAATGTCATTCAGAGGCACATGCTATTGGAATGATCTACCCCTTTTTGTAAGGGAGAAAGCATCAGTGTCTTGCTTTCGTAGAACTCTTATATCACAAATGTTAATAGAATAGTTGTTTATAACTTAGAACCAAGGCTCTTGCCTTTTTGTAAATGTTTTGTTATATAACTCTTCATCTTTTATTTAGTGTAAAATACCAAAGCTTTGTAAATAAGCACAGAACACATTTACCCTAGATGTAGAATAGTTTGTAGCTAAGTTATGAATTCAATAGTTATTCATATTTATTCATTACATTCTCATTTATTGCTGTGATACTTTTTGTGTGTTAGTGGTACTAGACACGATTAGCATTAAATGCTATTTTCTGGTCCCATTTATCCTTTCAATGTTAATTAATCATTCACATTTGATTGTTATATTGATGTACTTTTTGTTTTGGATAATAAACTTCAAACTCAAACTCAAACTCAAACTCAAACTCAAACTCAAATTCAACAAAATTTTGGCTAATTTGCGGTCATCCATGACATCTGTAAATCAATAAGACATGAATATACGCAAGGGAAATCGACAAATCTGATTACTTTGAAGAAAATACCGATCATAGGATGAGGCAGTGCTCACCTTTCTTCCACTGTTGTTCTGAGCTGCTACGTCGGTGGCAATGTTTGAAACCAGAGTGACATCTGAGGCGGTGATTTTTTCAGTGTTCGTTGTAATGATCGCAACTTGATCTGTAATTTCTTCAACTGTATCCTCCGTGATCTCAACCTGCAGTATGTATGACAAACGCAATCGCAGAATTTTGATAGCATTCTCTGTCGCCGACTGAAATGTGACATGTGACAGTGACGTATTACGTTATTCGAACATGATTGCTATGGTATGGAATTTGTGCCCTGGAGTTAATCTCTCGAAAGTAATTAATCATGTAAGTACAGTATGTACTTGAAACTATTTATGGTACTGAATTATAAAGGAATCAAGAAAGACGTACCACAAGATGAAAACTAATTTTAAGCCTACTCAGTGTAAATATTTTCGGATGGGTTATGACTGAAACTAGTTTCAAGGAGATCAACAATAAAGAGGGTGAGAAACTATTATTTGGTATTAACGGTCCAACAAAAACTTTGCACGAAAACTTGTATAGATATTAAGCCATCGTTCTTTAAAAAGAAGGACTATCTAGATAAAATCTAGTTTTGTGGAAGAAAATACTGATACAAATTACCAAGGAAATTTCATGAGAATTGAAAGTACAATAGCTTTTCACAGAACATCCAGTTTAAAGAGTAGTATACGGCATAAAACAGTAGGTCTTACATTATCAATTTCTTTTAACAGCTCTGTTACATTCCTGAAATCGCCACAGTTATTTTCAGGTACCCATTTGGCTCTGCTAATCATGTCTCCAACACACAAGGCTGTAGCAACAGGCTGGTGGACTACCATCGCGGGACGAAAAAAAAGAAAGAAAATAAAGTCGTATAGCATACCCAATTACTAACCACATACTGCATGCAGCTAAGGAATAACAAGAACATGATGAAGAAATTGAAGAAAGAAAAAAAAAACGTGTTCATATAAGCAATACTGAAAAGAAGGTTAATGACATTTTCACATAACAACAAAATCTTTTCAGATTTTCTGCTATCAAAACACCTTGTTATAAAGCATGTGACTAAATACTCGTACTAATTTTTTTAAATTCTGCTCTTCGAAATGATTGAATTTACTGTTCTCCCTGAGTGCTTTGTTTGAAACAAGGTATTCTTGTGTAGAAATTGCGCTAAATAACGTATATTTACTGCTATTAACATCTACATCATCATCCATTATTTGCATCATTACCATTAGTTGTATTGAAGGGACAATCTCGTCCTGTTGAATTATACCATGAATTCAACTCTCCCTCCGCGAAGAGAGCCTCACCGAATCTTGACACCCATGTAAAACTGGGACAAATTGCTGCAGTGGAAACAGAGGATGCATGTGGAATGTAAGCTAGTTGAATGGCTTTCAAAGAGTAAAGTTCATTTTCCATAAAATGATAATTATTCGAGTTGTAAGGCCTATTACGCCTTGATCATCAGATTACTGTTTAGTGGGCATCAGACACCCACTGTTTCTACACCTTAGCTAAGGCATACCACTGGTGACGACTGTCTTGGTCATTGGTCGAATCGTCGGAGTTTACGTTGCTACGCGCTCCTTACAAAAGTAAAAGAAGTTAACATTGACATACAGGTTTAGGGCACTGTGTAGTTTAACACATATTGTATATGATCTACAAAAATAATATTTGAAAAAGGCAAACAAAAAAAGCTTTATAATTTTTGACAAAGGGCCTAACAGTTACATTGAATATTTGCGACTGGTTATAGTGTAATATTCTTGCTATTGAAAAATGAGGAGAACGAACTCCTGGTAAGATTATTTTAACGACACATGCTCGTCTGGCCATTGCTAAGCAGTATATTTCATACAATACTCAAGTTCTTTACTTTATCTCTGGACCCGGCGCTTCACTTCACAAATTTCAACATTAACCGTAACCCTATACTTTTGACGAAATAAATGCAGAAGTAAAATGTCTAGTAATCGACAAAATCTATTTTGACCAGAGTACTACCATAAAAGCAAATGAACAGATGCTTCTGAAACTCACAGGTGCTGGTGACCGTGACGCTCGATGCATCAAGTATTCCGTCTGGCCGGGACGACAAGGCGAAGAAGGATTCTTCGACACTTTGTTGAATCTGGACAGAAGACGTCTCATTGTCTACGACGTACATATTCAGGTTAGCAATGATGCTTCCCTCGCGAAGGTTGGAGGGTACCACGTACAAAGACTTTTCCTCAAAATTGCCCTTCTCCACCATGCCCTTCTGAACCTAGGATTTATCATGAACAATTCAAGTAAAGGATAAACTTCAAAAGGCATGAAAGGAGGAACTATAATTTGCATTCACCTATTGTATGTAATTGTATATGTATTCAAGATCTTTCTCGAAGCCTAGGCTGCAATCTACAAACTCTCGACACACAAAAACAAAGCGCGTATTAAACAACACATAACATACCACACAAACATATCACAATGAACGAACGACTGATACTCGATTTAGCATGGCAAATGTGAGTCGCAACTAACATGATTATATAGTCCAATTGACTAACCTTTCTTCTAGAGGAAAAGAAAAAAGAAAAAGCAATTGTACAAGTCATTGAGAAGAACAGAAGTAAAAGAAAGTCAGGAACAGAACAGAATGAAGAAGAGGAAAAGGCGGATGAGGAAAAGGGAAATACTGAATGTAGACGGTTTAAATCAGGGGATTATAAAGTAAAACATTAACATTAGAAACCAGAGGAATGGTGCGCAAAGCAGGACCTATAACACTGTCCAAATGTAATGATTCTTACGACTTGCTGCCAATTGATTTCTCTAATTCATTCTTATACACGGAGGGTATTATAATGACAAAGTAAACGTTCCTAGTTAGTTATATGCTTCTTTTGCGACAGTGTGATATGGATGTAAACAAATATATAGGCCGGAACAAAGGCATCGTGAAGGAATCAGTCCTAGTTTAAGATAATATTCATTCCTCGTTTTGTCATACGGTCCATTCCTTCTGATCATTGGCAGAATAAAAAAGTATATTATTAATACACGTGAGGAGGTATACCAGCATAACATTTAAGTCACGCTTTAAACACAGAACACCACTGTCTGCTTTCCAATGTCGTAGTGGAATCACGATTTAATATTGTTGTCAATACTGATGATTCAACCAAATTCTAATTTAGAATATATCAATTTCTTAAATGAATAATTCTTACGTAATTTGTGACCATTTCCGCAGCATCCTGGTAATATTGAGATGTTATGTCGGACAAATCCCCGGACGAATTGACGTTGATATTAAACCAGGCATTCTCGATTATTATGTTAGATAACTCTGCAGAAAGAAAACAATATAATAGAAATTTCGAAAATATTCAAATGGGCACCTCATGACTGGTGACGTGCATGCTGCATTAATGAAAGTACAAAACAAGAACCTCGGCATTATTAATCAATTAATGTGCTTCATGGAAAAGACAAATTATTGTTGTCGAATCTTGATGAATGATTCTGAACAAATTTACGCAGTTAGATGTATTTAGACGACAGTCCAAATAATCTCTACAACATTGTTATCCAAAAGCTCCATAGTACAAAGATTATTGAAATAGAGTTCTAATCATACACTATTCGCCAAACCTAAGAAAGAAGGAAATAAATCTACCTGTGATGTAAACGGCAGCCTGATCAGTAAAAACCACGGTACTAGCACCATTCTGATTCCTGCCTTCTCCTTGACAGCGGTAGTATCCGATGTATGCAGGGGTCATAGATGCGATGGTGTATACACGCTGGTTTTCAGTTCCAGGGATCGTTACGTTATCCTTCTGCCATTCAAACCGAATTGCATTCTCAAAGCTACACATCATCTCGACACGTTCAAACGCATTTATCGTAAGACTTGTCGCTGAAGATAGTACTTGAATCGGCTCTAGCTCTGTAACAATCTCACAAACGGTTCCTGTGTGGCCCGGTGCACAGGTGCAAGTGTACGTGTTCAATAAGTCAGTGCAGGTAGCGCGGTTTAAACATGGACTACTGGCACATGCCTTCATTTCTGAATTTGGAGGAAGAATTCTGGAATTATTAACAACCAAACATTTGACAATTATCATGCGTACTCCCATTGTATTTCATCTCTCTCACTTCCCGCACTCACTCTCCCTCTCATACTTACTTCTGCTCTCTCCGTCTATTGTGAAATTAAACTAAAAGAGCTAAACTGAATTATACGAGAATAAAAAAATCCTCCAAAAGATACAAAATGATGCCGATATTACGTCAGGTTACAACTTTGTCATCAGACAGCAAATTTCTGTTGAATATAGAACGATTCATTAAACATAATCATGCAAATTCTGAAAATAATTGAACTTGAGTACATTGCAATTTGTTACTGTTAGCTACAACACCAATACCATATATAGCTGCAAATGGAACATCCACGGATTAAGACAATCCTGTAGCACGGTTTGTGGACGTTTGTCAACATTTCCTCGGACACTTGTGTCTCTACTTCAGCATTACCGAAAACCTAGTCCGAAATTCATCTTTTTGTTGATGATTGTATTTAAAGGTAAAACCAGTATTGGAAATGCCCCAATTTCAAAAATTAAATTGGAAGCTCTCATTACCAATCGTGTGAAAGAATATGTTTTGACTAATACATGATGATACAAAATTTGCCGGGAAACCGCCTACTAATTCATATATTTGGTAAATTTGTTTCTCTCATGGTCTGTGAGAGATATAGGGTAGTCCCATATACATCTTTCTGTGTAAAGTGCTTGTAACTTTACGAAGAATGGGCCAAATTTCTTATCATTTTGATGATTCCAGAACCTTGCAGATGCTAGATGCGGATGATCAACTTTTCTGATCGATTCCACAACGTTTCTTTCACAATGCAATAGCATGACCATAACTGGTCTTTACCTTTAAACAAGGTCGTTAAAAACTTATTTGATCGTGAGAATCTACAGAAATACATTCATCAACTTGAATAATGAGGGGACGAGTGGCATATGAAGTTTAATGCTTAGAATTTTGTTGTCATGAACATGTCCAACAAGAGGAAGAAGTTAAAATCCACCTATACTCTTAATGCACAAAACCTAGATTCAGTTGAACATCACCAGTACCTTGGAGTCTTCCTAACCCACAATTACAAGTGGGATTTCCAGTATGCTTACATCACCTAGAGGGCTAACATGGTTCTTGGAATGCTAATAAGGCGTAATCTTAGGGGTCGTTCGAGAACCGTCAAGAGCACTGCTTATCTTACACCAGTAAGACCTCATTTAGAATATGCAGCTAGTGTATACGACTCTTATGAGGCCAAGTACATCAAGCAGCTGGAAATGGTCCAACGTCGTGCTACCAGATTCGTATACAATGATTATAGCAAACGTGCAAGTGTTACTGGCATGGTGAAGGATCTAGATTGGGACTCCCTGGAACATTATGCGATAAGTTGCAAGACTTTCTCTCATGGAGCAGATCCAAAAATCACTCTGCGATCTCGAATGATCGCTCTAGTCCATGACCACGTGCCTCGTTTCAGTGTCTCTACATGGACAACAAGTCTGTCGACACGTACTCAAGAAGAAGTAGAAGTACCATATTCATTGTAAAAAATCGCTTCATCGGCACAAACCGATTTCTCACATAAAATTTTTATTTTGAGATCTACGTTATTTTCTCGGAAATGGAAACTAGTCTCAAGGTTTCGAAAAATTCTTAAATTGTTTGCATTAACATTTGTTTTGTGGATAACTTCGATTACCTCAGTTTTTTGAGAAAAAACTAATGGGAAAATGTTGGTATCTAAATCTATGGTCACAAATCAGAGCGGCGACCGACCGAATAGTTGCCTGCTCGGTCGCCGCTGGAATTTAGGCATCGCCAGGCGATTTTTGGAGAAGTCGAGCAGGCTGTAGAGACCCAGCGCACAGTGGGCCAGGGAGGAACCAAAGTGTGCCAAAACTAATTTCTGGGGATTTATTTTCTATAAATCCATAGGAAATGTTTGGATGTCCAGGGATTTTCGCTTAAATGGTATTACCAACATTTTCTCTGATATCTAAGCTTTAAGTTGATACCAGATTTGGCTGCCCGATTGTGCCCGTTATTATGTTAGAGCCGTTTTCCTTGGAACATTGCCCCGAAAAACGTGTTTATTTTGGTCCGCGGCGGAGACCGTGCGGCGACTGCTCGACAGCCTTTGACCTAGCGGCTTCGATTTTTGACCTAAATCGCTCGACGGTGAACGCTCGATTAGGTCGGGGCCCGAGCGGCGACCGCCCGGCCGCCGAGCGTAGGCTGGGCGGCGAGTGAAAGTGAGCAGGCGCCGCCCGAATTTTAACTCCGCGCTAAAATTTCGACCGAGCGATGCCTTAAAAACGAGCGGTGCCTAGGCGGCGGCCGCTCGGTGGCCGCGCAAAATTGGCTAAAAACTCGCCGCTCGGCCGCCGAGAAGGCTACTTTTGGGTAATGTGACCATAGCATAACTGAATAATATATTTTAACCGACTTATTTATCACTCATAGGGCAAAGTCACAGTTGTACTTTGAGAAACATCACGGATAGTCACATAGAACTTTAAGAAAATGTTCCCATATATGTATATTTGTGATGAAAATTACCTATCTCACAATTGGTTCCTGTGTAGCCCGGTAAACAGTCGCAAATGTACATGTTAATTAAGTCATTGCAGGTAGCGCCGTTGAGACATGGACGACTGACACATTGGTCAATTTCTGAAAGTAGATTTGGAGGAAGAATTCTGGAATTATTAACAGTATATGCCCATTTTATTTCATCTTTTGTACTGCTACCGGCACTCTCTCCCCTCTCATACTTACTCCACTCTCTCCATGTAATATGATATTGAACTAAAAGAGCTAAACTGATTTATATGAACAATATTTTTCCTCCAAAAGATACAAATGGTGCCGGGATCAGGTCAAAGTACAATTATGTCACCAAACGACGAAATTCAGGAGACTAAGAAAGACCTAGAGACATGCACAATATTAGATTGCTTAAAGTTGAGTTTTTGAGGCATTTTTTAAAACAAAAAGGGGGGAAAGAAAAATGTCACGATGATATAACGTATATTTTTTGTGTGGACAAATAACAGGATAAAAAGAAAGTGGAAAAGAAGAATTTTTGGCGAGGCTAGTTCGGTTGTCTGAAGAGAATTTAAAACAAAACCATTAACGTATCAACGATTGAGTTACCTGTTTGGCAGTGTATTCCAGTATAATCTGAATCACATGTACAGTAATAAGAATTGTAACCATCTGTACATGTCCCATCATTCAAACAGGGATGAGGATCACAATCGTCAATATCTACAATGGGAAAGTGGGGGGGGGGGTAATGGAAAAGACAAATTATTACGATATATCCTCCATAATATTATTTGTGTTTATTTCACTACAATGGTGTCTTTGTCATAAAATGAGATTAATGAATTAATAAATGATATAAAACGTACATGAAATTATATTGTAATGTTCCATAATATATACTTTTTTTCATTAAAAAAACATTTGAGTTTGTCGTAAAATGAGATTGAATTTGGGAAGCTAAACTGAATTATTGAAGAAAATGATTTAAATAATAGAAACATAAGAAGAATTTCAACTCAAGGCTAATTTGGTGGTCTGAAGAAAAGTGAAAACCATAACTAGTAACATTTACCTATTGAGCAGTATTGACCAGTATAACCGGCAGAACAAATACAGATATCAGAGTCTACACCATCTGTACATATCGCACCATTCAAACAGAGATTAGAAGAACAGACGGTCAAGTCTGCAATTGAAAAAAAATGGATTTGTGTTGAAAAAGAAACAAACAAGTGATCATTATTTTACCATAATATTTCACTTTTATTCAATCACCATTTGTTCATCGCAAAATGAAATATAATGCAGTGGCGGATTCAAATGGGCCTCTCCCCCTTTGGCGGCCTTAAAAAAGTGAGAGAACGACAGACCAAAAAGGAGACAAACAAATAAAAATGAGAAAAATCAAAGAGAAGAAGGGAGGAAAAGGAGAGATAGATAGAAAAACAGAAAAGTGATAAAGACCTCTCCTCCGAAATAGTAGGGGCTGTACGAATTTAAAGAAGAAAATACAATTTACATCAATTGTGACAGTCAATTTCTATATTGCTTAAAAACTCTAGAGTTCACGAAGGCAGGTGACAATTATTAGGCATGTTCCGCATCATCTCCCCTGTCATATTTACTCCCGCTCTCTCCATCTTCAAATATGACACGTATCGTCTCATTTTGAACTACACTTAATTACAAGGCAAAGTCATGTTTTTTAGCCAATAAATCACATTGCATCTATTATTTTAAATCGTGAAATACTAGTATATGCCACTTAGAACTTTAATACTATGTTCAATTAAATCTTCGTGAATATGTTTATTTGTGATGAAAATTCATTTAAATTTCTAAGGTAAATTACCTATCGCACAAGTGGGTCCTACGTAGCCCGGTACGCAAGTACAAGTGAACATGTCGATTTCATCCTCACAGCTTCCACCATTCATGCAGGGGTTGCTTTCACATTCATTGATATCTAAAACCAAATATTTTAAAGAAAACGGAATTTTCTGCACAATCAAGCAAAAGAACTTGCATACCTACAAACTGTACAAAATCTTCGGAATACTAAGGAGTGTAAATGGTCCACAATTGTGTTAGAGCTTAAAATCCAGTGACAAAGAATAATTATTTTAATTTGTATTTAAGTACATTGAAATATTCACGCAATGAACTATATACATGTAATACATTATTATCTTTCTTCTTATAATTATAATTATTATCAATATCATTATCATTAATTTCGTTACTACTACTAATAATAATCTGAATTATAACAATAATAATAATAGTAACATTCATAGACCGCTAAATAATGATGTTTCTGAGCACTGTACTATTATTACGGCATCAGCCGAGCAGCCCTGATAAGGCGCTACGGCATTCGATAAATTTATATTAATTTATATCACCTAGGTAAAGAGTGGCAAATATAAATCATTATCTTGTGGTGGGACTAGAACCGCGAACCATGTGATCCACAGTCGGAAGACATTACCACTAGACCACGACACCTCTACATAAACACTATATAATCAATATTTTATACTCAGTGAAACGGTGTTTTCATTAGTTCTATTAGATCTGAAAGTGAACGATTTAATTTTAAATGTATAAAACACAATTTGATATGAATCTACTCTTACCCTCAAATACATGGAAGCCTCCTGGTCGCGAAAAGCGCCCTGGTAGAATATAATTCTTTGGCCATGCATGCTGAGAACCTTCATTTACCCCTATACCATCGAGGTGCCAATCGGTCCACATCAGAGTTCCATGGTGGAAGATAATATCAAATGGATGAAGGAGCGTACCATGGGAATTATCTAGAATGAGCTTACGGTCATTGCCATAGAGGTCTGAGGATTCGATCTTGTCCAAGAGAGCGTCGCACCAATAGAGCCGTGAACCTGGACAGAAAATCAAAATAAAGTTGAGATCCGGGCCCTGTAACACAATATTTAGTGATTGATTGTACGTTTGATCAATCGTACAGTCCATTGTTTTGAAATCATTCAAGAATCCTTCATTTTTGCTGACGACAGAGTTTCATTTCCAGTTCATTTTCAATATTTGTACAATTTCTTAGTCCTTGTTCTTGTACACAAATCTTACATGACTGTACAAGTTTACTTGAAGTAAACTTGAAAACCAGCATGGTTGTTCCCATTCGAATAGCTCCATTAGATTGTGTGTGTATTATAGCGGGGCTGGGTCCAGAGTAGATGGTACATGAGAAAAGGAAACAATTATTTAAAATTTCATTTTCGACCTGGAAACCCCAAATTTGTAGGAGAGTAATAGTAGAAGAGTCCCTAAATCAAAAAATCTAGCAAATCTAAGCGAATGAATCCTGCTTCCATTGATTATGGTGTTTGTTTTAGACTAGTTCCAACCATAGGTTTGGTCCCATTGGGTGAAATAATGTGGACAGCATTTCAAACTCACCTCCTCTATCATATGTGATACCGTTAGGCCAGCCCAGACCTGTGTCGATAAGAACCTGCCGATTCTTGCCGTTGAGGTCGCACAATTCTATTTTTGGAGAATCTCCCCATTCCGTCCAATAAATCATTCTGAAATTAGATAAGGCTCATTTATCATCTTATCAAGTAGTTTAATAATCAAATTGAATTTATTCATGTACAGACAATATTTTAAATTGAAAAGGCTGGGATTTTAACTTGTCCCTTCGTAATTCATTATTGTTTTAAGAAGAAATTTTGAGTTATGAAACGACCAACATGACTCTGGCTCACCGAATCAGGCAACAAGGGCTAAGAAAGGTACATCGTTACATTTTTTTTTACTATGCTCCTTGATGTTTTGATGTATTTGGCGCCTTATATGTTAAATTAATGAATGACCTAAACTTTATGATTGGTTGTTTCTAAATCAATGTTTGTCAAAAGCTATGGCTGCACAGGTTATGACAATGCGATTTATTGTATTTCTGCTTGAGGCCAGAAGGGTGTTATTTCATATACTTTAACAAAGAGTTAACGCCCTTCTTGCTCTTAACAGACATTGTGCTCATATTAATGTCTATCTCAATGGATATTAAAGGCTCCTTCCTACACAGTAAAATATCATTACCCTGGTTTTTAGCCTTGTTGCCCTAAGGCACTAAAAGCATTGAAGGAATAACTTCCATCCAAGCACCTATTTACTACACCCGGACATAAGTGCCGCGGCGGGACTCGAACACAAACCATGATATCCACAGTCCGGCGACTTTTCCACTGGTCTAGACCACAGCACATCTACTTCTAATAAAGTCAATCGCAAATCGAGAAGCAATATCAAAATAAAACCTGTTGGTTGATACAATGATTATCGCTCTCGGTTTATCCAGGCCTGAAAGAATGTTATGTCTGCCTGTGCCATTGGGGTTCACTGCTTCTATCGTGTTGTGAAGTGCATCAGTCCAATATATGGTCTTGGTTTGAACATCAAAGTACATCCCATCGGGTGCTGAAGGGGTAACAATTGAGGCACGATAATGACCGTTTTTTAACAGGATGAGGTGCTATCAATGTGTAAACTGTTTTTCAACCTTTGTCGAATTTGATTGGATTGTAAAGTGGTGAAGAATTTTTCTGTGTTTATCGAAGAAAATGCCATTCTATTCCCGTGATGTATTAGGAGAGAGAAAGAGAGAGATAGAGTTTGAATCAAGAATTGGGAGAAAAGATGCACGTGCGATCGCAAATATTATGCTAACACAAAACTAACCATTCAGTTTTCATCTTATATTTCAGAGGCTGTTTTCTCCCTGGTTAGGTTATCGCTACGTTGTGACTGGCGTATTTTTCTTAACTCAAATTCCACGAATTCGTTTCGCCAAAAATCATGTTAATCATGACAAATCTCCAGGCCAAGTATGTAAGATCTAAGGAACAAAAAATGTTGGCCAACTTACTTCCGAGCCCATCTATAACTGTTTTCTGGTTAGTCCCATCAATGTGTGCCGAGCTTATTGAACGGTTATAACTATCTGTCCAGTAGACGATGCCGTTCACTGGGTCATAATCAACGGCAACGGGAGTTTGAAGACCAGTCAAGGGCAGCTGGGTGAAGGTGAGGTTAGTCGTTGTTGCCATGAATATCGCACCTTCGTCTAAGTCGGTTACGAAGACGATGGAATCTGTAATGATTATGATAATAATAATGATATTAATTATGGTTCTAGGACAATTACCCCCTGGGCAATCACCCCCCGGAAAATTACCCCCCGGAAAACTACCCTCAAAGGACAATTACCCCCTGGAATATTACCCCCCGGAGAATCACCCCCGAGGACAACTACCCCCCAAGGACAATTACCCCCCGGAAAATAACCCCCCGGAGAATTACCCCCGAGGACAACTACCCCCTAGGACAATTACCCCCCGAGGACAATTATCCCCTAGGACAATTACCCCCCGAGGACAATTACCTCATAGGCAATTGCCCCCCCCCCCCCCGAGGACAATTACCCCCCTCCCCCCCCCCCCCCCCCCCGAGGACAACTACGCCCCGATGATAATTACCCCCCGAGAACAATTCCTCCGATTACAATTATCCTCCGAGGACAACTACCCCCGTGGACAATCAGGAATCAATAGCAAAAGACGATCTGACACATTGAGAGATGGCTACGAGCCCATAAGATCCCCTGCATGAACCCATATTCTTTCAAATACTATATCACGTTGTCTTCCTCATTATACTACACATTTCCCTTTTATTATAATTTATGCAACGCCAGTGCGGTTGCTAATTTCCACGAAGGATGTAAGTTTTAGGTAATTGTCCAGCGCTTTTCAAAATGCATAGAAATACATTTCTCTGGAGCAGCGTTATTTTAACCTTTTGTTAGTCACGGTACCCTCTTATATAAATAAGAAATAAAAAGTTTCTCCCAAATCCCAAAGTCTTTATAGATTATTAATTTTGCATGACTCTGACTCTCGTCAAGTACTATGCACATTTAAGAATAAAAAAAGAGAATACATTTTCAAACTGGTAAAAAATTCGTTTGTAATTCACACACTAGAAACTATTTAAAGTACTGTATGCGGGCACCTTGCCGCCAAATGTACATAAATAAAAAGTGATATATTCGGTCATGATCTTGATACACGAATTTGAGGATATTTGGGGCTCTCGTTGCCCTTATTTACCTTGCTGTCAAAATATTGTCAGCGAGCGAGAAAGGAAGACACTTTAGTATCTTCAAAGTTTTATTTTCTCATGTAATTACATATTTTAACCGGTTCTGGTATTTGATGTTTTTTACAAATCAATGTTTTCCAAATCATTCTCTTACGGCTCCCCGGTTGAAAAATGCTGTGCTGGCGTTACAAAATCAAATGAGATGAATGACCAGAGAGCGGATATTTATTTTCTTTTGACATGGCACCGTACATATAACTTAAAGGCAATTTCTATTTCAAAATAATTTAACGTACACGAAAGCATACTACACTTCAGCATGACAACAGAAATAATAGATAACGTGAAGAAAACCTTAATTATGGATCATGGCATGGATGAGGGCCCATTATACATACAAAGACAAATACACGATCAGCTGATTAAAAAAGTTAAAGAGGATGCATAAAGGAAATCTTACATCCTAATTTCTTTGTTGTGCCATTGATGGTGGGAGAGGCTGTAACGCGTACTCATCTGCGCGCAATGTATTGTTCAATTTCAAAGAAATGTAATTTCTGTTCTTTACTCGGTAGCAAAACTACAGGGGAATTGGGCAACCTCCACCCCCATATCGAATTGAATAATTTGAAAAGACTGAAATGAAATTCATAAATAAAAAAGAAAATTAAAATTTATGCAATTTTCTGTAAATAGCAATTTGGAGAGAAGCTTGCGTTATACGTCACAGTGTTATAAATTCCTCGGGGGTGATTGTCATTGGGGGTAGTTGTCCTCCGGGGGTTATTGTCCTCGGAGGGGGGAGGGGTAGTTGTCCTCGGGGGTTAATTGTCCTCGGGGGTAGTTTTCGTGGGGGGTAGTTGTCCTCGCTGGTAATAATAATAATAATAATAATAATAATAATAATAACGTTTTATTTACCCAGGGTAGCCACTTCAGTTATGAAACTGCTCTTCCAGCGGGCCCTGCATAACATAATATGTTATTACTACCCTTCTCCAATCTAATATGCTGAGCGCCTAGCGAGAAGGCAGAAGGTCCCATTGTTATAAGTCTTTGGTATGACTCGGCCGGGGTTCGAACTCACAACCTCCCGTTCATGAGGCGGGCGCCGTAACCACTGAGCCACCATGCCCAGTAGTGTCCATGGGGGTAATTGTCCTTGGGGGTAGTTGTCCTCGGGGGGTAATTGTCCGCGGGGGTAGTTGTCCTCGGGGGTAGTTGTCCTCGGGGGGTAATTGTCCGCGGGGGTAGTTGTCCTCGGGGGGTAATTGTCCTCGGGGGGTAATTGTCCTCGGGGGGTAATTCTCCGGGGGGTAATTTTCCGGGGGGTAGTTGTCCTTGGGAGGTAATTGTCCCCGGGGGGTAATTCTCCGGGGGTAATTTTCCGGGGGGTAATCGTCCTACGGGGGGTAGTTTTCCGGGGGGTAATTGCCCGGGGGGTGATTGCCCAGGGGGTAATTGTCCTGATACGATTAATTATAAGTATGCTACTACTTCTGATACTAATATTACTACTACTACTACTACTACTACTACCACTACTTCTGATACTGATAATGATAATAATGATAATGATGATAATAATGATGATAATAAGAATAATGTCACTGATTTATGGGATCCTATTTACCCAGGGAAGCTGCAAAAGTATTTATACCGTATCAGGACAATTACCCCCTGGGCAATCACCCCCCGGAAAATTACCCCCCGGAAAACTACCCCCCAAGGACAATTACCCCCTGGAAATTTACCCCCCGGAGAATTACCCCCCGAGGACAATTACCCCCCAAGGACAATTACCCCCCGGAAAATTACCCCCCGGAGAATTACCCCCCGAGGACAATTACCCCCCAAGGACAATTACCCCCCGGAAAATTACCCCCCGGAGAATAACCCCAGAGGACAACTACCCCCGAGGACAATTACCCCCCGAGGACAATTACCCCCGAGGACAACTACCCCCAGGACAATTACCCCCCGAGGACAACTATCCCCGAGGACAATTACCACCCGAGGACAACTACCCCCCGAGGACAATTACCCCCCCCCCTCGAAACACCATTACCGCGGCCCGAGGACAATCACACCCAGGGAATTTGTAACACTGTGACGTATAATGCGAGCTCCTCTTCAAATTGCTATTTAGAGAAAATGTCATGAACTTTCATTTTCTTAGTTATTTATGACGGAATAGATTTGTTTCGTACAGGGGTTGTGTATAAATTATATTTATATTCGTAGCTCACATTCAAAGCCCTCGTACCCATCTGCCAAATCTTTTTGCTTGATGTACATGTATCCTCCTAGGAGGAGATTTCAACCACCCCTCTCGCTCTGTATCCATTCCACCTTTGTGAAGTATGACTTAATATGCCACGTGTATTGAATCAAATTCAATTGCCAGAAAATGCATGTATCAAATCGAATTCAATTGCCAGAAGACGCATGTATCAAATCAAAGTACGGAATTTACATTTCTTAGAAATTTAACAATACATTGCGCGCAGATGAGTACGCGTTAATACAGCTAGTCTCCCCCAAATGGCCCAACAAAGAAATTAGGATGTAAGATATCATTATTTATGCATCCTCTGTAACTTTTCTAATCAGCTGATCGTATATTTGTCTTTGTATGTATAATGGGCCCTCATCCATGATCTATTCCAAAATTAAGGTTCTCTTCATGTTTATAAATGTAATGTAATGTAATGTAATATATATATATATATATATATATATTTCTGTTGTCATGGTGAACTAAAATATGTTTTCTTGTACTGTAATTTATTTTGAAATAAAAATTGCCTTCAAGTTAAATATATGGTATGTACGGTGCCATATTAAAAGAAAATAAGTATCCGCACTTGGGTACATTCATCTCAATGATTTTGTAATTCCAGAGCAGCGTTTTTTCAACTGGGGTGCCGCAAGAGAATGTTAGTTACATGACAATTTTTGTTGGCAAACGTTGATTTTGTGAAAAACAAATATCAGAAACGGGTAGAGTATTTATTTTCATGAGAAAATAAAATGTAAACAAATAATAAAATGTCTTTCTTCCTCGCTCGCTGACAATATTTTGCGAATATATATCTTTTATTTCGACATTACATTGTTACCACACTCATCACAATTATAAACATGATGAATCAAGGCAACGAGAGGCCCGAATATCCTCATATTCATGTATCAAGGTCATGACCGAATATTTCACTTTATATTCGTGTACATTCGGCGGTGAGGCGCCCGCATACCTTAAATCTGTGCTAGTGTGTTGATTACAACATTATGTTTTACCATTTCGAAAATGTCTTGTCCTTGTTTTTCTTGCTCGTTCACTAAATCAAGAAACAAATGTGCCCATACGTGTGTACATAGCACTTGACGATTGCCAGAGTGATGCAAAATAAATAGTTTGTGAAGAATTTAAGATTGGGCGAAACTTTTCATTACTTAAGAGGGCATCGTGTCGAACAAAAAGTTAAAATAACGCTGCACAAGAGAAATCCTTCGTAGAAAACAGCAACCACAGTGTTGTTGCATACATTGTAGTTAAAGAAAAATGTGTAGTAATGAGGAAGATCACGCGCAAGTATTTGAATGAATGTGGGTTCATGCACGGGATTTTATGGGCTCGTAGCCTTCACAGCATCTCTCAACGTGTCAGATCGTCTTTTGCTATTGAATCCTGATTGTCCCCCGGGGGGGGGGGGGATTGTCCTCGGGGGCGGGTAATTGTCCTCGTGGGGTAATTCCTCAAGGGGTAGTTTTCCGGGGGGTAATTGTCCTTGGGGGGTAATTGTCCTCGGGGGTAGTTGTCCTCAGGGGGTAATTGTCCTCGGGGGTAGTTGTCCTCGGGGGGTAATTCTCCGGGGGGTAATTTTCCGGGGGGTAATTGTCCTTGGGGGGTAATTGTCCTCGGGGGGTAATTCTCCGGGGGGTAATTTTCCGGGGGGGAATTTTCCGGGGGGTAATTGTCCTTAGGGGGTTATTGTCCTCGGGGGGTAATTCTCCGGGGGGTAATTGTCCTTGGGGGGTAGTTTTCCGGGGGGTAACTTTCCGGGGGGTGATTGCCCAGGGGGTAATTGTCCTAGAACCATTTATACTGCTCTTCCTACGAGTACTGCAATTATAATTACTCCAGCAATTGTCAGGTACGCATTTACAACTAGATGGAGAGTGACAAATTTTGATTAAAGTCTTGCCAAAAGATGTTTGTAAGTGCCAGGATGAGATTCGAACCCTTACTCTTTGGATTGAGAGTCAAGTGAATAAACATACGTTGACAGGATTGATAAATTGAACAGTTTGGGAGGCATTTAATATAGCTTCTAAGTTTCCTTTCTAAATTCAGTACACAAATCCAGGCATATTAAAGGTTAATATCATTATTATTCTGACCAGGTTCATCAGAATAGCAGCTGGCTTCATCCAGCTCGTCGTCACAGTCTACTAGTCCATCACATCTCCATGATATTGGTATGCAGACCGTATCATTGCATGTGAACTTATCTACTAGACAATCTTCTCCTGTCTGCCTTTCGGAAGCATCGCCTGCAGGTGAGGTAACAACATAAGCAATAATGGAGGTAATGATAACAATAATAATAGTAATAATAATAATAACTAGATTTGTAATACTTGTTTGGAACAAGTATAGGTGGGCTGATCCAACACAAAATTGAGACAAAATGAAGGATAAATTTGAGATAGCTAATTGTCTCAGCTACAACATACTCGAAGTTCAGCGTAAATGAAGCTAAAACGACGTAGATATTGCTTGCGAAAGACGGGAATGTAGAATCCAGTTTTGAGAAAAAGTCATGTCCCATAGAGAATACATGCAAAATTAGAAAAATTGACATGCCTCCTTTAATCGTAAAAATACGTCATGATGCTTTTGTCAAAATGAAAAATCGTGTACAACAATATTTGTTAAAAATTGTCTCAGCTAAAACATATCAAAATTTGGAAGAAAATTGATCAATATTTACAGAGATACAATCACTTTTCCATAAATATGCTGACGTCATAATATGCAAATTGAAATGTTGAGTTCGGAGGCCATTATGATGACGTCATGAGTTAATTGAGGGTCAAATGAGACATGAAACAATATCTCCGAATCATACTCTATTAAAATATGAAAACAAATTGGGGTCACCTTGCATTCTAAAGAGCTACAATGGATTTTGTATAGGCATGTTTTTGCCCATATTTGCAATGTATTACAAGAGCTCGCGCGCACGGAAATTTTTGCTTAACGGTCGATCAATCCATTATTAATAGTCATAAAGAGACCAACGTAGTATCAATTTGTTTGTAAATATATGTGGAATATTATGAAAGAAAGAAAAAGGCAATTCTATGTTGTGCAAAAGTTTTACGCGCGAAAACGCGCGCGCATGCGCGTGTGCGCGATTTTTTATAAAATGCTTCGAATGGCCTAAAACGTATGCAAAACGATTTTGAGACGATTTTGAGCATTCAAAATTTTACGCGCGCATTGACGCGCGCGTTATTTGACCTGCAATTGACCGGACGGATATTGACCTTGACCATGATAAATATGAATGAAAAATACCTTTAGGTTATGAAGATATGATCATGAGTTGATTTTCGTAACATTTTACAAAATGGCGCCTAGATGACGTCATCAGTCAAGGTCAAGGTTGAAAAAAATTCTGTGCTTTTTACATATGCCTATACATATGTGTGCCAAATTTCAAGGTATTTGATTCAGCCATTTTCAAGTTATCTTGTCCACAAAAAAGTGGTTAGAAATAAGAAAAATAAAGAATAATAATAAACTAGACATATAATACTTGTTTGGAACAAGTATAGGTGGGCTGGTCAACTTAAATTTGAGACAAACTAGAGCAAAAATAAGCGAGATACTGCTTAAAAATTCTTAAAAAACAATATCATGTAGTTTCATGACGTGAACGAAATTCACCTACTATAGGGATAACGCAAATTATGAAATGTTTGACATGAGGCCTTTAATCGAGATTTTCACTACGATGACGTCATCAAAATGAAAAATGGTTATTACTGCGCTTGTAGAGAATTGTCTTAGCTACAACATATCGAAATTTTGAAGAAAATTGATCAATATTTACAGAGATACAATCAATTTTACATAAATATGCTGACGTCATAATATGCAAATTCGTATTTTGAGTTCCAAGGCCATTGTGATGATGTCACGATACACTTAATGGCCAAATGAGACATGAAATCATATCTCCGACTCATACTCTATCAGAATATGGAAAAAAATTGAGGGTCTCGGTGCATTTTAAAGAGCTATAATGGATTTTGTATAGGCATGTTTTTGCCCATATATGCTATGTATTATAAGAGCTCGCGCGCACGGACATTTATCTTGAATGGACGCTCATCTTAATATTCATAGTCATAAAGAGATGAACATGGTATCAAATTGTTTAAACCAATATGGGATTTATCATGAAAGAAAAAAAATGGCGATTCTGCGTTGTGTAATGGTGTTACGCGCGAAAACGCGCACGCATGCGCGTGTGCGCGATTTTTTTATAAATTGCTTAAAATGACCTGAAACGTATGCAAAATAAATTTGAGACGATTTTGAGCATTTTAAAATTTTGCGCGCGCATTGACGCGCGGACGTACGCGCACGCGCGCGTTTTTTGACCTGAAATTGACCGGACGGATATTGACCTTGATTATGATTAATATGAATGAGAAATGGCCTTTTGGTTATGAAGATATGATCATGAGTGTTTTTTCAGAAAATTTCACAAAATGGCGCCTAGATGACGTCATCAGTCAAGGTCAAGGTTGAACAATTTTCTGTGTTTTGTTCTAATGCCTATACATATGTGTGCCAAATTACAAGGTATTTGATTGAACCATTTTGAAGTTATCTTGTTCACAAAAAAAGTTGGTCGAAATAAGAAAAATAAACTAGATTTGTAATACTTGTTTGGTACAAGTATAGGTGGGCTGGTCCAGCTAACATTTTAGACAAAATGAAGGGCACATTTGAGATAGCTAATTGTCTCAGCTACATCATACTCGAAGTTCAGCGTAAATGAAGCTAAAATGACGTAGATGTTGCCCGCGAAAGACGGGAATGTAGAATCGAGTTTTGAGAAAAAGTCATGTCCCATAGAGAATACACGCAAAATGTGAAAAATTGACATGCCTCCTTTAATCGCAAAAATACGCCATGATACCTTTGTCAAAATGAAGAATAGTACTGACTGCATTTGTAGAAAATTGTCTCAGCTAGAACATATTAAAATTTGGAAGAAAATTGATCAATATTTACAGAGATACAATCAATTTTCCATAAATATGCTGACGTCATAATATGCAAATTGGAATTTTTAGTTCGGAGGCCATTATGATGACGTCATGAGTTAATTGAGGGTCAAATGAGACATGAAACAATATTTCCGAATCATACTCTTTTAAAATATGAAAACAAATTGGGGTCACCTTGCATCCTAAAGAGCTACAATGGATTTTGTATAGGCGTGTTTTTGCCCATATATGCTATGTATTACAAGAGCTCGCGCGCATGGAGATTTATGTTAAACGGTCGATCATTCCGTTATTAATAGTCATAAAGAGACAAACATGGTATCAATATGTTTGTAAATATATGTGGTATATTATGAAAGAAAAAAAAAAGGCAATTCAATGTTGTGCAAAAGTTTTACGCGCGAAAACGCGCGCGCATGCTCGTACGCGCGATTTTTTATAAAATGCTTAGAATGGCCTAAAACGTATGCAAAATGATTTTCAGACGATTTTGAGCATTTCAAAATTTTGCGCGCGCATTGACGCGCGGACGTACGCGCACGCGCGCGTTATTTGACCTTTTATTGACCGGACGGATATTGACCTTGATCATGATAAATATGAACGAGAAATACCTTTTGGTTATGAAGATATGATCATGAGTTGATTTTCGTAAAATTTTACAAAATGGCGCCTAGATGACGTCATCAGTGAAGGTCAATGTTGAAAACGTTATTGTGCTTTGTACATATGTCTATACATATGTGTGCCAAATTTCTAGGCATTTGATTGAGCCATTTCCAAGTTATCTTGTTCACAAAAAAGTGGTTAGAAATAAGAAAAATATATAACTAGATTTGTAATACTTGTTTGGTACAAGTATAGGTGGGCTGGTCCAGCTAACATTTTAGACAAAATGAAGGGCACATTTGAGAAAGCTTTTTGTCTCAGCTACATCATACTCGAAGTTCAGCGTAAATGAAGCTAAAATGACGTAGATGTTGCCCGCGAAAGACGGGAATGTAGAATCGAGTTTTGAGAAAAAGTCATGTCCCATAGAGAATACACGCAAAATGTGAAAAATTGACATGCCTCCTTTAATCGCAAAAATACGCCATGATACCTTTGTCAAAATGAAGAATAGTACTGACTGCATTTGTAGAAATTTGTCTCAGCTAGAACATATTAAAATTTGGAAGAAAATTGATCAATATTTACAGAGATACAATCAATTTTCCATAAATATGCTGACGTCATAATATGCAAATTGGAATTTTGAGTTCGGAGGCCATTATGATGACGTCATGAGTTAATTGAGGGTCAAATGAGACATGAAACAATATTTCCGAATCATACTCTTTTAAAATATGAAAACAAATTGGGGTCACCTTGCATCCTAAAGAGCTACAATGGATTTTGTATAGGCGTGTTTTTGCCCATATATGCTATGTATTACAAGAGCTCGCGCGCATGGAGATTTATGTTAAACGGTCGATCATTCCGTTATTAATAGTCATAAAGAGACAAACATGGTATCAATATGTTTGTAAATATATGTGGTATATTATGAAAGAAAAAAAAAAGGCAATTCAATGTTGTGCAAAAGTTTTACGCGCGAAAACGCGCGCGCATGCTCGTACGCGCGATTTTTTATAAAATGCTTAGAATGGGCTAAAACGTATGCAAAATGATTTTCAGACGATTTTGAGCATTTCAAAATTTTGCGCGCGCATTGACGCGCGGACGTACGCGCACGCGCGCGTTATTTGACCTTTCATTGACCGGACGGATATTGACCTTGATCATGATAAATATGAACGAGAAATACCTTTTGGTTATGAAGATATGATCATGAGTTGATTTTCGTAAAATTTTACAAAATGGCGCCTAGATGACGTCATCAGTGAAGGTCAATGTTGAAAACGTTATTGTGCTTTGTACATATGTCTATACATATGTGTGCCAAATTTCTAGGCATTTGATTGAGCCATTTCCAAGTTATCTTGTTCACAAAAAAGTGGTTAGAAATAAGAAAAATATATAATAAATAAAGGCAATTCTAACGAAATTATAAGGTGGTCTGTACGTTATACAGCCCACCTGATAATAAATAAACGCAATTCTAACGAAATTATAAGGTGGTCTGTACGTTATACAGCCCACCTGATAAAGGCAATTTTAACAAAATTATAAGGTGGTCTGTTTTAGATACAGCCCACCTAATAACTAGATTTGTAATACTTGTTTGGAACAAGTATAGGTGG